TCACTATAGTACGATACTGACTTTTTAATTCTTTAGGATAAATACTATAAAGTGGTATACTTGGGTCACATGGTGGTTCCAATGCCTAGTCTTTTCAGAAACCACCATACTGATTTATAGTACTAATTTATAGTCCTCCAATAGTATGAAAATGTTCCTTTTTCTCAACATCCTCTCCTGCATCTATTATAGCCTGTATTCTTGATGGCTGCCATCCTGACTGGTGTGAGATGATTTGCATTTCTCTAATTGCTGGTGATGTTGAACATATTTTCATATATTTATTAGCCATTTGTATTTCTTTCTTTCCTTTTTTTCTTGGAGAAGCATCTGTTTAACTTATTTGTCCATTTATTAATTAGGTTGTTGGGTTTTTTTTTTTGGTGTTGTTTTTGAGTTCTGAATGTATTCTAGATAATAATCCTCTGATAGCAGAGTAGACATTACTACTTTTAAAATGAGCTACTCGTAGTTCCAGTCACCTGGAGCTGTGTTCCACTTCTACAAATTTAGGCAATTTGTTATTGAGGAATTTACATCAGTGGCCCACTATCCTTGCTCAGTGTATTCTTTCTCAGCTTGATTTCCATTAAGTTATGAAGATTTTTATCCATCTTTTCCAGTGACTAATATAAAGAACAAACACTTCCATGAGAAATCAGAAAGTCCTGTGATAGCATACCTAATTTGTCTATGTTGACAACTGAGAGGATTGCTAGAAATCACTCCAACAGTTCACAAATCCTTGGTATGACTAGGGATGATCTCATTCACGACTATTGCAGATACCTAAGCAAAACTGCTCTAGTAGTTTTAACATTAAGCAAAAAGAAAACATGATATTGAATGAGTCAAAATTTAGTTTCCTGTTCCAAATTCAGCTTCAGCAAAACAGGACAGCTTTCACTTATTCAGAGTAACAATGGAAAAATGTTTCAGAGAACTCACATGATCAAAGAAAATTCTAATGAAATAATGTACTTTTTATATAGGTCATTAGAGAACTGAAAAAAAAGTGTTGTCCTCTTATTAAGCTATTACCTCACCTCATTGTTGAAAACATGAAACTTCAGAGAGCTACATTATATCATTTTTATAAAATATTAGTTGTTGAAGAGCTAGAGTACAGCAAGCATGTCTCGTTATTTTTTCCTATTCATTCAAATCCAAGGTATTGCTCATCTAAACTTTCTCCGTTAATCACTGTTACAGTAAGTCTGAGTCTGCAAGATGTCCAATAATTCATAGCCAGCTTGGGGCTTGTTCATCTTCAGGCCAATTATTCACTTCCTGTGCTAGTGATTAGTAATAAGAAATCCTCATCTGCTGTAATTGTGTAGAATTAATATAAAGAAAGCAAGATATTTTACTTTAAGAATCTAGACCCAAATGCTAGCTGGTTTCTAGTGGCTGCTTTTCTTCCCTCCTCCCAGAAATAGATTTCTGGTGAGGGTTAGTCAAAGGCCCCCCACATAAAAAAAAAATAGCAGTTCTGATAAACATAACAATAGCACAAAATGCTCTGGGAGCAGAGAGGAGGGATCCTGAAACCTGCCTACTGGTAGCTAAAGAAAGTATCATGGAAGAGGTATCCCTTGGGCTGACTCGTAGTTTCTGAGTAAAGCCAAGGCTGAGAGGGGTAGGGATTCAGCAGGAAAAGGAGTGTGCAGTAAGAAATTAGAGACACTTGGTTTTCAAAGAACTCTAGCACCCCAACAGGGTTAGTATGCAGCTTGGGAAGGAGGTTATCTGCACACTGTGACCAGAGATGTGCACAGGAGCCAGATGACAAAGGAGGCTTGATGCTTTCCTAAGGAGGGCGGTGGGGGCTCTCTAGTCAAGTGGAGATCCTGAACATTCTGAGTAAGGGGATGGCATGGGAAAGGTCATGTTTTGGAAGGAGCACATTTGGCTGGGAGACAGACAGTGAGAAGTGCCAGGAGATACAAGGGCAGGATAGGAAGGGATGAGAAGGTGGAGAGAGGGAAAGATGACATCAGAATTTCTGGTTGGGTGACTGGTTGGATTCACTAATGAAGGGAACCTAGAGAGAAGTGGAGGCAAGGTGATGAAGGAAATGATAGAAGTTATCATGGACATGTCTGAAGGTTTTACATAAAGGGCTTTAAAGGACAGAGGTTCAAGGCTTGGGAGAGATTGGGACATCAACAGTATGTAAGTGCTACTGAAGTTTCCAGCCTTAAATCCAGTGGTTCAAAGAATAACACGATCTGTTTGACAGTTGCCCATTTTAGGAAGTGACCTGTGTTAGGTGTTTAGACTACAGGATACAGTTCCTGCTCACCACTGTATCAGTAAACAAGTTGAAATCCCAGTCTTGGGCTAACATTCAAAGTCATCCAGGTCAGATTCATTGAGTGTCTTCTTTGTGTTAAATGCTATGAGGGAGATTCATGTGTTTAGATGTTTAAATAATTCATTTTTTTTTTCAATTATTTCACGGAGTTTTCAGTTTGCCTTAGGGAGATGAGCGAAAGTCAAGAAGGGAAGAATTGGAGTGAGAGAAATTTCCCACTAAGGGCAGAAAGTGAGCATTTTAGTAGAACAACAGTGAACTCACCTTCAGGCTTGATAAAGTTTGACATCGCAGGAGCAGATCAAATAGAAATAATTAAGACCAAGAAATATACTTGGGAGAAGATCCTGGCTGAGAATGAAGATTTGGGATTCATCCCAAGGGTTGTGGTCACTGAAGTTAGAGAGCCTGGGAAGCGGGGAGGGGGGAGTACTGAGCTTGCGGCAGATCCCAGGGGTCTGAGCCTTGGCAGACATCCTCCTTGGGCTGTGAAAGGGCAGTGGCAAGCCAGAGTGGCTAAAAATTAATATTAATATTCTGTTACTGAACATGGAGAAGGAAGTGCTCAAGAACTGGGTGTTCACCAGACTTAGAGGTCAAGGGTGAGGGACTGGAAAATGATCAGTGGGTTTAATGAGTCTGTCATTGGGTGCCTTTTCTCATAGGAGTTTCAGTGGGATAGAGAGGTAAGGAGTGAGATTGTAGGTCATTCAGGAGGGGGAGAAAGAAGAGCAGTAAGGGTAACAATAGTTGGTGTGTATTGGATTATGCTTCTACATTATGCTTCTAAGCACTTTGTATTTTGTTTAATTCTCACAGTAATTGTAAGAACATACCAATATTATTATTATGCATCTTGTGACTAATATTTCTGTATGACAGAGAAGCTATACAGTTAGCCCTTTGTAACTAATAGATCTGCATCTGGGGTTCAAAAATATTTGAAAAAAAATTGCAGCTATACTGAACATGTACAGATTTTTTTAAAGTATCATCATTATTTTCTGAAGGATAGTTATAACAACTATATAGAATTTTTACTGAATTGGGTATTATAAGTAATCTAGGGATGGTTTAAAGTGTATGAGAGGGCCTGGAGTGAGCTCAGGGTAAAGTACTTGCCTAGCATGTGCGAGACCCCGGTTGCCAAAGGGCATGGCAGGATGGACATAGGTTTTGTACAAATACTGTATCATTTTATATGAGAGAGTTGAAAATCCTTGGAACCGATTCCCAACAGATACCCAGGGATGACTACATTGGGAAGTAAAACCAATGAGTGTGGCTGGTTCTTTTGAGACTTTTTGCAGAAAAGCAAAATAGGTTAAAACATGATCAAGTGAACACTTTTCAAGTCAACAGTTTAGAAGACAGCGGAAGGTCCCAGAGTGGAATAATAGAAAATAGTAGAAAAGAGTATACAGGTGGAACTAGGGACCAGAGACCAGTCAGGACGGGAGAAAGGCCCAGCCTTGAAGCCAGAAAGGACCGTTATCTTCAAATTGAGAAAATCAAAAAAATGTTGACGCAGTTACTCACATTTTTCAATTCAGAAGTGTGATAGTGTGAATTTATGCTTGATAACATCAGTGTTGGAAAATTAGGAAGTCAAGCAGCTTCTAGAAAAATTATTAACTTATCTTTGTATTCTTCCAGAAAATTTTTTCAACTTAGCCTTTAAAAACTTTTTCAAAGAGAAAAGCTTGATTTTAATAACACTGACCCCTCCCAAACTCAATTCTGTCATGTGAAATTTAACTTGTCATTCCCTTGATCATCTGTTACCTGATTTCATTATTTAAACATGAAAGTAAAATCTTCTTCACATATATTTGCATTTCCTTAACTGTTTCTTTGAAAACCTGTATTTTGGGGACTAAAAGAAGAGGTGGCAACTGGAAGTGTACAATGTGACTGTGAACAAGGACAAAGGGAAGGGAGAAGCATGAAGAAAATTTGTAACTAAGGATCAAGAAGAAGAGCCCCCATCTAAAAATCCACTGTAACTTTGTAATTAAGAGTTCCTGTTTATGAGAGCATTTTTATTAATGGAACGAAAAAGGTACAGGGTCATTGTCTGCCATTAAGTTGCTAGAGAACAAAATGAGCTCATGACCAGCTATTCACTTCAATAGCACTGCCATTTAGGACCTCGAGTGGCTGTAACTTAGGGACAGGAAATCTTTTCTCATAAATAACTTCGGCCGGCTGGCTATTCTGCTGAACTCATCAGATCCTTTCTTGATTTCATAGGAATACAGTGTAGAAAAGATCAAGGTTATCTCCAGGGTTGAGTTACCGTTGCTTCTTGCTACCCACAACTCTGCCCATAGAGCAGTTGTTTTCATCTTTTCCCCTGTAAAACTATAACTCCCCTCGGAAATTAAGAGTGGAAAACATTTGGGAAATACTGACTGTGGCACTTACAGCAGTCATTTCGATTTAAAAACATTTCCTGAGGAAAAGCAAATGTTTTCTCACAGACCCCAACATTTTGCCTGTTAAACCATTTTTGTCATCAAAACATTTTATTAATATGTAAAATGTTTGCAAAGTTCATTCTGTGTAAACATGATCATTTCATACTAATCAGGTGTGTTGAGTGCCTCTGTTCATCCATCAATATCCGGTGTTTGTCAGCCTGTGTTTGTTTTGTGTCTGATGTTAAATGTCTTTCTTGCAGATATTGATGAATGTGTAAACAACACTGTTTGTGACAGTCACGGGTTTTGTGACAATACAGCTGGCTCCTTCCGCTGCCTCTGTTATCAGGGCTTTCAAGCCCCACAGGATGGGCAAGGGTGTGTGGGTGAGTTTTTAGAATTTTTCTCCCAACATGTTCCATGTGTCCCTTTCAAAAAGTTATCAACAAGAGGAAATTTTAAACAGCAAACTTGGGCACAATTTGCTTTTATCATATAATATGAGATTGGGCAAATCCTGTGGCTTCTGAAATTGATAGGAGCACTGATAATTACAGAAGTATGACCTTAAATTGAAGCATGTTTTTAAAGGACATGTGTTTAAACCCTTAGTTGAGAATGCAGCACTCTATAACCCTTGTGGCCCAGGAAGCAGAGTCTGCAACATGGTATAGGTAGTCCGTCATAGAAATCCAGCTCCTCAGGCGGTGCATTTAAGGAAGAGCGTTGGAAAGAACTTCGGTTTCCAGGAATGACACCAGTAAACTGATGCTCTTGATTGTGCAACTCTATTCTTCAGCCCGTTCTGGGACTGATGGTGCTGGAAAGAATCTTGAATGTCATCAGATGTCCTAAAATATCATCCAACACATGCTCCTAGAGAAGAGATTTTTGTGTTTCATTTTCTGATCAGCTGATTTCTGCAAGTCAATGTCATTATGAAACATGCTTGTAATTAGAGTGATTTCTTGGGAAACAGAAGAAAGGTTATAAAATCTGAAACTTCATGCATTAACAAGGCTTTTTTCTTTATACTTCTTAATGGAGAAAAATAGCTCTGTTTACTACAGGGCAAATGGCACTTGAGGTGAAGTCAATAACTTATTGCTTTGAAAATTTACAAGGAAAACAAGTTATTTGCCATCCTAGATAATACTGGGAAAACAAAGTCTATTTAGAGGTTGGATGATACCACTTGAATAAAAACTGCTTCTCTGGGATTAATTATGGAATCTAGTTAATTCACAATCATATTGTTAGTTCCCAACCACATTAAAAAATAGTCATAAACACAGCTAGCCAATTAACACATATAATTATTCCAGAATTAGACACAGGAAGACATCTTGGCTATCGGATAATAAAAGCCAAGACTATTCTAATCTCTCCTTCCCACCAAAACCCAAGTGATTAAACATGGCCTGACATTTGCTTGTACTGTGACTAAGTGGGCACTATGATTTGACTGAAGTTGGGTACCATCTCCAGACACTGTCCCTGCTCCCTCCCTTGCCCTCAAGCTGAGCTTTGACCCTCTTTCCAGAACACCTTCAGCAAATTCTATCATAGCACTTACAACCTTTTTGGAATCATTTATTTGTGTATCTGCTGCCTGCAGCCCTCTTCTCCAAGTCCACAACCTGCATGTGATTGCGAGCTTTCTGTCTCCCTTCCCTGGAATGGGCACCATGTTTGACCTACTCAGTAAATTGTGTTTAACTATTTAACTGTTGAAATATCAGATGTTGACTCCACATGGTCCCTGAACCCCTGTTTAATATTCATTTCCAGCCAACCAGATGAGCACACTGACCTTTTGTTGATATTTCAGTATGGCACACAAGACACACCCTTAGAAGGGGATATTTGTTGTCATTTTGGTGAACTCAACAAATGTCATTTTGTCTTTTTTTCTTTTTTTTTTTTTTGGTCCTATTAACTGAGGACTGGTGATGCAGCTCCTTGTAGAGTACTTGCCTAGCATGCATGAGGTCCTGAGTTTAATCCCCAGCAAACCTCACCCCCCAGATCTATCTAACCATATCTATAGATACACAAACTGAGCACCTATTATGTGCACTTCACCGCACTGGATGTTGTGCAGCATTTCAGGGATGAGACAGGTTTGAGGCCAGTCTTGGGCTGTCTTCTTTACTCTGCTTAGACCCTACACACCCGCCTGCTCATTGTCACCTACTCATCCTTCAGATCTGGGCTACAATGTTAATTCTCTAAACCACTCTTGCATGAAAGAACCACTGTTCCCTACTTCATAGAGCTCTGTATTTTTCATTTCTGGCACTAACGAAGCCTGTGAGATTTTCTTGCTGATTTCCCTGAGGGCAGGAGTTGGGCCTGACTGACTCATCATTGCTCTCCCACATACGGGCTGGGCCACAGGGCCTGGCCCATATAAGTAAGTGGGAAATATTTCTTGATTAAATGAACGTGCCTGGTGGGAAAGAGCTCAATAGCCATGTAAATAATATGAGTTGGAAAGTAGAAAGTTTCATATGACATTTGCCTAAAATTGATAAATGTGAACTGGCAAATTCCTAAAGTCAATTTTTCTAGTCTAAATAATAACTGTCTATATTGATTAAATATTCCAGTTCTGCTTTACTTTATGTTATAATATCTTTTTATAAATGAAACCCAGATCATTGGGTTTATATTTGTTTACAAACAAAGTGAAATGGGAAGCTGAGGTTAATTATCTAAATAAGTCAAAACCCATAAACCTTTTGTCCAATAAACTGGATATAGCAGGGGAAATAGGATTTTTTTTTCCCTGAATGGTTTGGAAAACTGCTCACATTTTTAACACTGTATAAACCATCTCAGAGTGTGCTCATGAAGCTGGTGTGTACATGTTTAATGCATAAGACCCATGAGCATTTCAGATGTCAAGTGAGGTACTTTGCTGAACAGGACAGCTATTAATAAAACTTTTTGGAGAAGCAAGGTAAAATGTACGATGTGGTAATTGGCCTTTCTTTAAGGTGTATTGCACATCCTTTAATAAATCATACTCATCAATGAGATGACTTGACTGTGTTTTAATTATATATATTTTAAGCACAGGAAAAAAAAACATTCCATAAAATAGAAATTACCCTGTGGACATCCACAGAATTTGAAAAGGAATACTGAAACCAGTATTAGTTATTGGACCAATTTGGTTCACATGAATGATTAGTGCACCCTGATAAATGCTTATAGCTCTTACAACCCAAATTCTAATTTTAATTTATGGACCTCTTGGCTGCTAGTAAACTGTACTTTCAGACATTTAAGTAGATCTTTAGCATTTTAAATGAATTCAAAGTTTCTAGGCTTGCTGAAGTGCATGTGCTTCTAATTCTTTCTGGATTTAAGAACTGAGAGTAGAGCGTTGGGCCATTTCTGACTTTGAATATATTGAAAAGTCATGGAAGACCAAACTAGATGTTCAAAGGGCACATACTATTATTTCCAGTGCAATTCCAGGGTGTCCCTTAAAAGTAGAATTGGAATTTAGACCATTATTGTGCATGTTCTCAGTCCTGTCATACAGACAGCTACATGAGCTCTGCCTTTAGGAGCCTATTCCCTAAAAGAGCAGATGGGGTTGGCCAGCTTCCTGGAGAGCACCTCATTTCCGGAAGGCACTACTGGCCTTGGCAGTGCTGGCAGAATGAAGAGCTGTCTGGACTGACACACGCATCTCACTTGCTCTTTACTCCCTTTGCCAGATGTGAACGAGTGTGAACTCCTCAGTGGCGTATGTGGTGAAGCCTTCTGTGAAAACGTGGAAGGGTCCTTCCTGTGTGTGTGTGCTGACGAGAACCAGGAGTACAGCCCCATGACTGGGCAGTGCCGCTCCCGGGCCTCCGGAGGTAAGTCCCAGTGGCACTGGGCAGGGCACAGAGGGCCCTGCTCAGAACCTGAACCTGATGGGCGTGGGCCAGACACTCCAGGAGCGAGGTGAGGAAGAGCCTGATGTCCTGGCACAGTTCTGATGCTGGAAGCTCCTGTGTCCATCCCATCCCTCATCAGTGGAAATAGGATGTGGGTCATGACTGTTTGGGCTAGATGGCTTCTAACAAGCTTTCCAACCCAAGACGTCATGAGCAGAGTAAAGGATCCAAAACAATGAGAACATTTGTTGGGTCCTGCCTAAGACTTAGGGAGCTATCAGCTCGGGTTTAATATGGCATCATCTCATTAAGTTACATAATCCCCCTTTCTTGGCCCATGGAGAAATGTATCTTGACCCTTCTTTAAATGAAAATCAACATACAGGCCTCTCAGGATCTACAAAGACTTCCACTTGGAATTCTTAAGGTGTTTCTCCAGAATCTGGCCTATTGAGTTGCCATGTTTGCATTTATTTAAAATTTGATTTAGACTGCGTTGTCACTGTGCAAATTGAAGTGGAGAGCTGAAAGTTTTCCAGATAAATTAATCGACTTGCAGATCATAGATCACCCTTTTAGTTGTGCCATGTAGTTATAACTTGGTTGTATTTTAAGACAAGCAAAAGACCAAAAGGTCCTTTGAGAGCCAAATAAAATGAAACTTAGACCATTTTAATTTATTCCTAAATATCAGTCAATTTTACCCACGCTCATATAATAGCTTTTACTAATCCTCTATAGGGGACACTTGTCTTGTGTAAAATAGCTATTTTCACAAGTTATGGAGAATAAAATATAAAAATATGTTCATCCATACATTTTATTTTTTGATTACTAAGTATAGACAGGCAAGGAGGTACAGAATTAAGTGAGCAGACAATTAAAATACATTGTCTGTGGAGGGGAAGAGGAAGGTTATTGCTGAGGTAGCATTGCTGTTCATTCAAGTGACCACCAATGTGGTATGCATGCCATAAAGAAAAGACATTTAATCTTAGTTGTACCCAGGGTAGCAAAACATGAAAATCTGGTTGGCCTAAGTAATTACCTTTCTCTTATTTGTCTTTGGTTCCATAGGGTAGCACTTTACCCACAGTATTATTTTGAATGAATAACTTAATATATCATAATATTGTATAGTCAATAAGGGATCTATATGAAGATTAGGTAGTCATAATAAATATAAATGCATATGATACGATGTGAAATGAAAAAAGCAAGCTATTCTAATGATCATATTCTGCAGAGAGGGGGAGATTAAGGATACAGAAAAAGATAATTTTAGGTCTTTATGGAACTTTTAGTTTTTTTTTTCTTTATTTTTCAAACTTTCTGTAAGACTTCAGATGGGACACCCCGTGATCTGGTCAATCATCTCTTTCTAACTGTGTAAATTTGGGCATCTCAACATCCATGAGATTTAGTATCTCGTCTTTAGAATGGAAAAGTTTTATTTTCTTCACAGAGTTTTACAAATTCTATTTACTTATTTTGCCCATAGTTATTTTTTGATTAATTTCTTGTAGATTTACAGAGTGGTGAGATTCACTGTGGTATATTCATATATGTAAGTAGGAAAGTTATGTCAGATTCATTCCACTGTCTTTCCTTATTCCATCCCCGCCCTTCCCTTCATTCCCCTTTGTCTATTCCACTGATCTTCTATTCTTTTTTTTATTACCCTCCCTCCCCCCTTTATTGTGGAATATATTCCTCATGTCAGAGAAAACATTCATCCTTTGGCTTTTGGGGACTGGCTGATTTCACTTAGTCTCCAGATCTGTCAATTTACCAGCAAATATCATAAAGTCATTCTTCTTTACAATTGAGTAATACTCCATTGTTTACACATTTTTAATGAGATCACATGTGTAAAGTCACTTGTTAAGTCACTTGTTAAGAGCCAAGTACAATTCAAAATCTCATACTCAGCCATGTCCCAGACACAGCAAGGCTATTTTTCATCCTTTCATGGTCTCTTCTGAAGTGGTGGATCTTTTGACTACAGTTATTTTTGATCCAGGTCATATAACCTCATTAAAGTACATATCTTGGCTCCTGAAGTTTGCTCATTTCTTTTTCTCAGACATTAATAATGCCTTAAGAGGATCATGAGGTAATCCGAACCGTTTTTGCTGAACTGGAACAGCTCACTGTAAACTGTGCTTATTATTTATTTGAACTTCTGGCAACTCTTCTCATAGCCTTGCTCCTCATCTCTACTTTTTTAAAGTTCCTAACACCTATTCTGCCTTTTTCCTTTTAGTCTGGTTGCTCTCTCATTGACTATCTCTTTCTGGAATGTTCTTTCAGTCAGAGTTCACTAAGTACCCTCCTGCTTTTTCAAAGAACATAATTTGGAATACCTTATTCTATAATGTTGGTCTGACAATAAATACATTATGGTTCCTTCCTCTTAATTTATCTAATCATTTCTGGATTTTTGCATGTTTTTTTTTTACCATAGTTCTCTGGCTTCCTAAATATGACACATAGCCAATTTTTTATTGGTTCATGTATGTATGATAACAACAATCAAAAACTGGTTGAGCTTACTAAGCTGCATAGTTCTTGGCATCTTAAACTTCTGCCATACCTCAATTTGTATAGTTTTTGGTGAAAATCAGTTATGTGGATTCTTAAGACTATCTTACTACCATCTGTATTTAAAGCAATTTCCTATTGAAACTGGTCTTGAAAATTAGGATCAGGTCCTCATTCCCCTGGTACTGAAGACTGAACACCCAAGAAATGCTGCGGCAAGAGTAAAAAGTTTTATTTAAAGGATAGAACAGAGAGAGACTCCTCTGGAGAGGAAGGAATATGGAGCTGGTGCCCAAGGGAATGAGGATTTCTTGCCTCTTTTATAGATTTTTGGCTTCCTTTCTTCTTGTGTTCTCTCCTCTTCTTGTCTTGCCTCTGTGACCAAAATGGCAGGAAGAGAGCTGTCCAGGGGGTGATTGCTTATGTTAGAAAATGTGATCCTTCCCCTCCCCCAGAAGTTGTTAGCAACCAGGTGATGGCAAGTGCTATCTATCCATTTCCTTTTCTTTGATAATTATCTAACTTTCCTTTGCCCTGGTCTCACTACCAGTATCTGAAAGACAGAGTTTATCCCTGAACTTCAAGGAGAACTTCACTTCATTGAGCCAATACTTGATCAGTTATTTGAAAAGGGTGATTTAAACTGGAAATTATAAAAAAGATAATATATCTTTTAAATATTTAATTTTTAACTTAAAGCATAAAAAATGTACATTCATTCATGAGTCTTTGAAGACAGGCCAGGGTCTTTTTTGAGCAGAGGCCACTCTTGGAATTCTACATGGCTCGTCTCCAAAAACCTCTATTTCTTATGCATCCTCTACACTGCCTACTTTAAAGCAAGTGAGAATTTAAAGACTTTTACAAAGCAAATGAGGATGAATCCCTCTAGATTTTTAGTTTTCAAATGTTTTATGGTTATCTCATCCACACTTAATTTAGTTGCATTCTTTTTACTAAATCTTTATCTAGTCTTTCTAAAGTATTTGCTTGAGAAACAAATCTTATATTCACATTTATATTTTGCTGATATATGTATTGCTTAATGAGGTAAAAACAGTAATCAATACACTGTCACAGAATGTTTGAGAATAAACATAGCCGAGTCTTGGTTGGCATACTCCTCAACCTGCAGAAGCAGAAGTATGTTGACCTCTGAGAATAGCCAACTGGTTGTGAGAATTGCAGGATGTCCCCAGAGGGACATCTTTTAACCCAACACAAGTACATGGAAATTAGCTTAAAGAGTTTGCATCATACCTCAGTCAAAGAATCTACTATTAACACATTTTGTACCAAAGTTTTTATTTAGGATTCCAATTAATTTTATTATAGATATACTGATAACTCAGATCTCAACCTTCTTGAAATGTGATTTGGAAAGGAAATAAAAATTTGCAATGTAGCCAGCAACAGTTTTACTCAACTATATGGTTTTCCCAGGACAATTCACATTCCCATAATGAGCAGAAAAAAAAATCTAATGTCTTATTGTACTGAGTACAGAACTTAGGCTAAGGGATGGGATGCCAGGCAGGAAGATTTCAAATTAGTATCCAAAAGAGCTTTCCCATAGCTAACCAGAGCTAGGCAGTGCACATCTCACACAGGGTGTTTCCCCTGGAGGTATTCAAAAACAGGTGAGGATACCCATTGGCAGAAGAGCACCTACTTTCAGCATGAGTCTATTTCTTCTGGTCTTTAAGGTAGTTTTGAACTCTTAATATCCTAGGATTTTTATTTCTACATGACTTCTTGGCTCCCATATAGTTTTTTTACGTCTAGTCTAATGTTTTCCACTTCTTGGGCCTTTGGCCATTAATTTACATTGCTGTACATTACCTAAAAGAATATGAAACAGAAATAACTAAAAAATGTCCATACCAGGCCATTCATCACATTTAAGAGGATATGGATATGAAATATAGTCTGATGCCTTTATTTCCTTAGTGCCTGTGATAATTGCTCAATAAAAACTTTATGTCTTTGGGCACTCTAAAGGAAGCAGTAAATATTTAGTCTTGGCAACCATAGCCTTCAAACCTTACCCACAAAATGCTGTTCTCTTCCTTGATTGGTGAACAGAGGATATTCTGTGGTAGGAATAGAGTCTTACTCTTAAAACAGAAGGTATAATGAAAAGAACATCATGAAAAAGATGTATATTATAATCAATGCATGTGTTCTGCACTTTAAGAAAAGCAAATAAAATCGGAAATGATTAAGTGTATAGACTGGGGTGGTTATTTGTATTAAAAAGTAATTTTTGCTTTCACATCAGTTTAAATGCCAGTCTTATCTAATTTACTAATGAGCGTTCTCTCACATCATGAGCTTGATCCTGGCTTCTACATTTAGAAACTACCTTAGTGATTTTCCAACCCAGCTTCTTTATTTATAGGTAAAGTGACTCTGGGCCAGACTGAAGCTCTAAA